AATTTAGCAGAACAATTTGTATTGTGGTTAGGATGGTTGGAATTACAAATGAGACATATTGGCCCACGTTTTGGTATAGCCTCTATATATTCGGTATTTTGATAGTTTTTGTCGCATTTTTTCACGGTTTTGTCTAAAAATTGGTATTTGTTGGTCATAAAGGGTTCCAGCTGCGGTGGCGAAACTTTGTATGTATAGGTCCATGTTTTGGTATAGCTCCCATAAAACGACACCTTCCAATATTCGGTATTTTGATGATTTTTGCCACATTTTCCAACGAATATGTCTAAAAATTGGTATTTGTGGGTCATAATGGGTTCTAATGTTTTCTTTACCCTAAGGTGGAGGGTATTAAAAGTTCGGCCCGACCGAACTTAATGTTTTTTTACTTGTTTTTTTTTTTTTTTGTATCGAATATGGTTTTTCATTCAGTGTCATAACTAAATAAAGTATATTTAACGGATAACACGTTTGCATGCTTCATTGAAAATTATACCTCGCATTAATTGCGATAATTCTGAATATATTTAAATGAAGTAGTTCATGACTTGCATAGAGTTTCAGCGACCTATGTATGAAAGTATGTATGAAAAGATAAATGTAAAACAGAACATGTGGTGTAACTTGACATTCTTGCTTCGAAGAATTTAGTTATTTTTTATCAGTATCACATTGCGTTCGTAATTAAATATGTACTTGAGTTGGCAATATTTTTAAAAGTAACTCAGCAAAGCAACTCACTGTATGCATTTTCAGTGGATATATGCAAATTTTAAAAATTTACACACATATACGTTTAAATATGAGAAGAAATAATAAAAAACTAGTAAAAAAGAAGCTAAGACGAAGCCGGGCCGAACTTTTAATACCCTACACATAATGTTGCTAAAATCATCAAAATACCGAATATCGGGGGTACCATTATATGAGCATTATACGAAGACGTGGACCTGCACACAAAAATTTTTGTCTTAAAAATAATTTTTCTTACATACGAAGACCAGGACCTGCATATGCAATTTTTCGTCATAGACTGTAGTACACATTATGAACTTCAAATACGAAATTTGAAATAATTCCGGTAGATAATTTTTGCCATAGGTTGTAATACACATTAAGATCTTCCAATACGAAATTTGATGATTCCGGTGAATAATGTTGCTGAAATCATCAAAGTAACGAATATCGGGAAGTGCCGTAGAAAAATTGTTGTAATAGGATGTAGTACCCATTACCAATATATGGGGGCTAAAAACGAAAACGTGGACTGATATAGCCCATTTACGAACTTAACCTGCCTACTGGCAAACTATACATGTAGGCAAATATTTTAGCCTTCTATTTCAATTCGTTCGAAAGATACCGTGAAAATAACAGATAGACAGAATATATATAAATTGGAGGGTCTATTATGAATATTTCGAGGAGTTACAAGCGGAATGACAAAGCTAATATACCCCCCATAGAATGGTGGAGGGTATAATAAATTTACTTAGACCTCACATTGTTTGTAAGTGTATCATAAGCTCGATCCAAAATTAATGTTAATGATCCAAAATTAATGTTAATTCGACCACATCTTAATCTAAGCTGAGTCTATAACAAGTAAAAAATCAGCTAAATTCGGCCGAACCGAATTTCAAATACCTTAGATCATTTAGACGGAATCTTAAAAAGTAAAAAAAAACTTTCAAAATAAATGCCTCTAACATTATCAAGATACCGAATATTCGGTGGAACTCTAAATACCAATGTTGAGATAATCCGTTGAAAAATCTGTCTAAAATCAGAAAAATTCGGAATTTTGGAAAGTACAAGTATATGGAGGATATATGAAAATTTGGGCCAATATAGACAATTTACTATCAGAGAGTTTATTTATACGGGGACTATACTTGGACCTTTATAGGTAGGTCTCCTACATACGAAGACCATATGCAATTTTCCGTCATAGACTGTAGTACACATTTTGAACTTCAAATACGAAATTTGAAAGAATTCCCTTGAATAAAGTCGCTAAAATCATCAAAGTACATAATAGGAACACATGCTACCAATTTACAGCAAATTCGGGTTAAAATTGTGATTATAAACCCAAAACACCGGTGCAGTTATACGGGGGCCCATTTTCGATATAAAGAAGTTAAAAAGTATTAGTCGTTTTGCCGACAGATGTTCACCCTCAGCCAATGTTTCAATATTATTTCTTCTGTTATGATTATTCAAATTGTTGACTCTTTATGGAGGTGGCACCGAAGGAATGAGCCAATATTGTCCATCTCGTTTCAGACCTAAATAAATATGATATAATTATTGCGACGTGCCAGGTTTAGACTATATCGACTACTTCCTTCACTTTATATAAGATATGTGATAATTTTTAGAAAATCTTGAAATGTACGTGAGGTACCAGATATAGTCGATCGAAGTATTCCTTTTTCATACTTCATCTAATACAGATAAAAAAAATCGCGATCAATCCAATTTTATACGAAATCATAAATTCCATATTCATCTCAGGTTTCTGGTTGAGAGAAATATTCAGATATAGCAAGTTGTAAAGAACCGCTGACTTGTTTCGCTAGTTATGACAGATAAAAGTATTCAAAATTGTGACCCTTTGTGGGTGGGGTTCCAAAAGGGGTTCGCCGATATCTTCAAAACAGATCTTGTGTTAGCAAAAATGTTAGTATGTGTGAAAATTTAAGAGAATTGCATGCTTATTTCGCTTTTTTTGAGTGTTTCGTTTTTCAAAACCTTAAACCCTATATGAGGGAGGTACCGGAAGAAATGGCCCTATCTCTACCATCTTTATAACAGATCTTGTGTTGATTGAGATTTATCAAGTTTGAATGGAATCAGATGTTAATTTCGCGTTTTATGAGCTTCGTGGATATTCAAATTTTTGACCCTTCGTGGGAAGTACCACAAGGAGTAGCCCGATATATCCCATCTTGACAGCAGATCTTTTAGTAGGAGGAATTGGATGTGTGAAATATGAAGCGAACCAGATGCTTATTTCGGATTTTATGACCCTTTGACCCTTTGTGGGGGAGGTACCTGAAGGAATGATCCGATCTCTACCATCTGAAAATATTAAGATGAGCCAAGTCTGAATGGAATCGGATGTTAATTTCGCGTTTTATGAGTTTCATGGATATTCACAATTTTGACCCTTTGTGGGAAGGTACCATCGTTCATCGGAGTGGACCGATATCGTTCATTTTCGCACCTGACCTAGCACTGATGCTAATTAGGGTTAGCATTTGCAAAGTTGGAGCAAAATCGGATTATCCTTTCTCTTTCTGTGCAGTAAAATATATATATATTTTTTTTTTTGAAAACTTCGACCTTCTATGGGGAGGTAGCAGAAGGAGTAAACCGATATTGCTCATCTCCGAACTCGATCAAAGTTTGATAATAATATTACGGTGTACCAAGTTTGGACCAAATCGGATATTCCCTTCGAGAGTTATCGTGCACACCAACCAGACATATAGACGGAGGGACAAACATCACTGGATCGACTCTAGAGTCTAAAACCGTTATTTCGATGAAACACGTTTTGGCCGCATCAAATGATATATAGACCCTCTCTGTGACTGGTGGTATAACAACTGTCTTTACATTAGAATTAAACAAATTCTTATAAACCCTTTTAACCCATTAGTGGGCAGTGTCCCTTATAAGGGACTCTCACATTTTCCACTGTAGCACTTTCCAATGCTCGTTTTTTTTGTAAACAAGTAGGCTATGCCATTACTGACACTCCAACGAATTATGTTCTATCCCATTCGTTTAATTTCTTGCGAGTTGCGTGTTGTATTTTGTGCAAAATATGGAAAACCAATTTCTGAAAAAACAAAAATCTCGAGCTGGGTAAGTAAAATTTCAATAAAGTTATGATTCTGTGAATATTTATGATTGTGTTTGTATTGTTATTTGTAAGTAAGTGTAATAAACTAGTTTATGCCCAAAAAATAAAATAAATTGTTGTGACACGTGCATAAAGTGACTATGAATGCAACGTCCCCTTAGAGGGACACTGCGCCCGTAGTACAATTGTAATCCACTGATTGAGTAATAAATCTTATATGTGCAGACTTACAGTTTCTGAAATACTTAATGAATTGGATGCTATTGGCGATAATGAGTTGCACGACATTGAAATTTACGCGACCCCACCAATAGATGGTGCCGATACCGCTCTAGAATCAGGCAAAAAAATAGTGTTGGCCCATATTTGCATATTTGCCTGATGCGTCAGTAGTGAATGCATGGCTGTTAATGAAGAAGTTACATCCCAATGATCCGGCATGTTCAACTCTTCTAAATTTTCGCCGTTATATTGCAACATCATGTCTGGAATCGTATGGTACCCCAGCATCAAGAGGTTTGCGCAATAGCAATGTCACTGCAGATACAAGATATGATGGCAGAAACCACATTATTGAATATTCAAAAACAGATAAACGGTGTGGATTATATGGCAAAAAGTCTAATTTTATTTGTCAGAAGTGTGACAAAGGTCTCCACCCTAAAAATTGCTTTAAGGAATATCATAAGCCAAGTGTACCCAATGCGCAGCGTCCCTTATAAGGGACGGCCCATAACTCCAAAACCATAAGCTTTTTTGAATAAATTGTTTTTAAAACAAATTAACTATACCATTTTTATTTGTAATTGGTGTAAATCGCTTAAAGGTAGTGCCCAGGGAACTTCGTCCACTAATGGGTTAATTGAAAATATGAGAACGGATTTTTAATATAGTCCATTTATGTATCGTAATTTGAGGAATTTATTTTGAGTATATCACATCTATAGAAACTCTACCATAAATTGCAGTGTTGATGGTCGGCGCTCATTCTGCTATGACTTTTTAGGGTACGAGACACATTTCTCCCCCTCAATATTTGTGTGTTTCGTTTTATCTCCATGTAAACGGCATTATCTACTCTTTGATCGTACATTAACAACCCAATTCTATTGCATACTTTCAGGCGGACACAATTAACCAAGCGACCACTTCTTCAGCTACAACATATATCATGGGTGGAGCCAATCAAAACGACGATAATACCCAATTCCCACCATCTTTGCCAACCACCAGACCAAAGAGTAAATGTGTTCGCTTCACGGAAGCCATATTCTCACCATGGTACAAAGAAATCTCCGTGGAACCCACAATGTTCCTGTACATGTTCGCTTTTATGATTACCTCAGTTGTGGAACAGGACTTCTTTCTGCAAAAAGCCTGCCGGGTTAATAACAATTTTACGGATGAGATATGCGAACATATAAAAGACAGTGAAAATGCCGAGTACAAGAAACAAGTCCAAACTACCACAGCCTGGTTTTTGCAATGGGAGTCGATTTCGGCTCATGTCTTCCCGATTATATTGGCTCTGTTTTTGGGCTCGTTTTCTGATCGTCGTGGTAGAAAACTGCCCTTGCTCATGGGCTTGGTGGGTAAATTCATATACTCTGTGATGATTGTGGTCAATGCTCGCATGAAAACTTGGCCAGTGGAATATATCCTCTACACGGCCACACTGCCAAGTGCCTTGACGGGGGCCGATGTGGCCATATTTGCATCATGTTTTGCATACATTTCCGATATTTCTACGCTAAAGAACCGAACGTTGAGAGTTACCATTTTGGATGTCTGTTATTTGAGTGCAATGCCAACGGGTGTGGCATTGGGCTCGTATTTGTTCTACAATCATTTTAATCGTTCCTATGCAAATATGTTTACACTGAATGCCTCGCTATTGGCGTTGTCCATAATCTATACCATATTTGCTCTGAAGGTAAGTTACATAACAAAACAAATGATAAAAATTCTACAAAACGATATTTTAGAAAACATTTGTTAATATCCGTCAAGCTTCTCTGGTGTGCGTAATTCGTATAATCACCACAATTTTTGTTGTTGATAAGCGTAAATTATGTCGAAGGCAAAATGAATCAAAAACATAGTTGTAAGCAGAGGGTTTTTTTAAGAGCTATATAAAAGTTTAAACAAGTAAAGAAGCAGTAAGTTGGGCCGGGCCGAACTTTTAATGCCGTCCAACAATTGGGAAGGAACTTAAATATTAAAAAAAAATTCGAAAACTACAACTAAAATGAAAAGCGTTATATTGGGGGGTGTCTATACGAAGACGTGGACCTGCATTCGAAATTTTTTGCCATAGGTTGTAGTACCCATTACGAACTGCAAATATGAAATTTGAAAAAGTTCCAGTGAATAATATCGCTAAAATCATTAAAATATCGAACATCGGGAGGTACCGTTATATATACGAAAACGTGGACCTGCATACAATTTGTTTTCCCATTAAGATTTTCCAATACGAAATTTGATGCATGGATGTCAGGGATTCCGATGATGAGGTTCGGGTTGTAAATGATTGGTATATAAGCGTCAACTCTGGGAAACGGTCGTCGGGAACACGATATTCGAGTTACAGATGATTCGAGGATAATCGGGAATTCTGTTGAGCGGTTGTCGGTCACCACGATCACGACGGGTAATCACTGTTCGGGTTGAAGTTGATTTCGCTGTCCGTGTTATAATCGAGAACTCTGGTGAATGGCATTCGGCTCACTGGTGTTCTACGACGATGATGCTCGGTTGTGGATGACTTCGCTGCCTTCGACTCAGAGGCGTCGTGTACGAGGAGTACATGAGCGGGAACTCGGTGCTCGCAGGTTAATTAGATGGAGCAGTGAGCACGGAGCTCCTGTGGGACAGTGAGCGCATTACCAGCCACTCAGGTTTAAAAAAGCCAGTCCAAAGCCAAATCCGTGGAAAAATGTGGCATAAATCATCAAAATGCCGAATGTCTGGAGGTACCGTTACATGGGGGTAATACCAAAAAGTGGACCTATGTAAACCATGTTCCGCCACCGGAGATAGAACCCATTCCAAACTACAAATACTAATTTTTAGACAAATTCGTGGCAAAAATGATCAATATACCGAATATCAGGAGGTACCGTTACATAGGAACTATACGAAAACGTCGATCTATACGTACCTTGTTCCGCCACCGGCGCTAGAATCCATTTTCACCTACAAATACCCAATTTTTAGACAAATCCGTGGAAAAGTGTAGCGAAATTATCCAAAATACCGCATATAGGGAGGTACCGTTATATGGCGGCTATATTATGCTGATTATGAATGTATATATTTTATGATGTCTAGGATGAAATTTGGCATATATTGACAATAGAAATAAGCGTGTTTTTTAGATTTAACTATAGCTCTCAGATGTATTTTTAATCCGATTTATTAAATTTGTCCTCCTGGATGAAAGTTTATTAAATTTGGTGAAAATGGGTTAAGATACCCGTAAAATGTTCCCCACAACAACGATATTTGGTGCCAGCTATCAGATACAGCAGATAAATATCTTAGCTAAATTTTACAGATATCGGTTCAGATTTGGATATAGCTTCCGTATATATCTACATCCAATTTATTGGGCCTTAAATGTGTAATATCTGCTCAAATAGGATGGATTTTGATAAATATCGGCTAAGACACAAATGTAGTAGGAATCGATTCAGATGAGAATATTACTGACATACAGTGTGAGATAAAAAAAAAAAACTGAAACAATGTCAAACTCCATAATTATTACATTTTTTTAAATTTTATTGAATGAAAGCCGACTATGTCGGAAATAGCATCAGATTTTAGAATAAGTTTAGATTTGTTCGAATTGGTCCCCTTTAACACGAATTATGGCCTTCAAACGGCCAATGAAACCGGGTGTCCGACACTTTGGTATTTTTTAGTGCCAACCTTGCTTTCCAAAATACTCCAGACACAATAGTCTAACGGATTTGTATCCGGAGATTTTGGTGGGTATTGTGGGCTGAAAGTGAAGCGAGGAACCTCATTTTGTAACCATTCTTGGGTGGCGCGTGCTGAGTGCGATGGTGATGAGTCTTGTTGGAATGTCTTAGGTCTGCGGCCTTGGACATCACCATGGCCGGTGCTTAAGTTCTGTTGGCCAACGGAAGGTGCACATTTTCAGCTGACCTCTTTGGCAAGTAAACACGATCATTTTGTTGGTTTACAAACTGCTGGACAACGAATGTTTTCTCATCGGGGAGAACAAAATTCGGCAGTTCACCACTTTCGGTCAAGCGAAGCAACTGACGGTGAAAGTTCACGCACTTTTGGAATTTGGCTTTACCTCGAGCTCATTTTTCAATATTTGCCGAATGGAATATGGCGATATGTGCGTCACCATTTTTGCTGATGTTTGTTGTTTTCTTCTGTCCACTTTCTTGACGTCGGGCTACGCTACCAGTATCACGGTAACGAGCGATGGTACGAGACACAAAAGATTTATTAACATTTAAATCTCGGAGAGCTCTAACGATAGTCACTTGTGGTTTTCCAGCCAAATGTAAAGAAATCGTACTATCACGCTTGAATTCCATCACGAATAACTTTTTTCTGGAAAATTCTCACCAAAATGCTTTTGTGCGCTTGTAAACAATATAATGAGCTATCACTGGTATAATTTTAACAACTTTCAGACGAGTGGCTTCGAAATTACAGCAGTCTGAAGTTGGTTGCAGTTTTTTCATCTCCTCATGTATAAACATTTTTTTCACCCTGACACGTCAAAACTTGCATTGTTTTTTCACCTGTAATCGTCTTTTTCCTATTACTCTCTTTCCAGTGGCAAACAACGCCGAAGCAACGTTCTCTCAAAGAGCTGGGTTGTTGCGGCTTTTTCGGCGATTTCTTCGATAAACAGCACGTTGTGGACTCCCTTGGTGTCCTTGTGAAGAAAAGGCCTGGCAATCGTAGAAGCTTTTTAATTATTTTACTCATTACCATGGCCCTGTACACCTTCCAAAGAGACGAAGGACAATACCTGTACATGTACACGGTGTTTAAATTTAAATGGGGCGTTGACGTCTACAGTACTTTTAAAACAGTGAAATCATCCGCCTACGTTTTGGCCATGTTGGTGGGAGTGCCCATAATGAATAAGTCATTCAATTGGAAAGATACCGTAAGACCTATTCGACGTCACACATCTGCTTCCATTTAACGTGGTTGTTGTTATTATTTTATTTTTAGACAATTGTTTTTATTGGAGCTTGGGCACACGCCATAGCTCGGCTGTTCTATTATTTTGCCGAGACGGGTCAAATGTTTTACGTGGGCGCCATTGTGTGCAGTTTGGGTCCCATTGTTGGCCCCATGATCCGTTCAATGACCTCCAAGATTGTGCCCATATCCGAAAGGGGAAAAGTGTTTGCATTGCTGTCGGTGTGCGATAATGCGGTGCCGTTTATAAGTGGTGTGTGCTATTCCCAGGTATATCGCGCCACACTAAACGATGAAGGCAAAGGTGGTGACGGTGTATTTTTATTAACCATTGCCACCCAAATGGCAGTGTTTATTTTAATTTTGTAAGTTTTGCACAACACGCTGCGGCAACACATTGAAATGCTTTCTTCTAACAATCAAATATTTACTTCCTCTGCTACACAGATCTATACACATAATATTGGGTGATAACATATTGGATGTGCCGGAAGTTAGCGAAACCGAAGAAACAATTGTAAGGAATGCAGTCGCCATTGAATACACAAGCCACGACCAAAAAAATAATTTGGAAAGAAAGACTAGCACTTAATTTTTTCTTTTCTTTTTTTTAATGAAAGCCAACATATTTTCAGGGTTGTTATTGGAATTGTAAGAATCTGGTTTTTAAAACTTGAGCACAATAGTGTTTATTTTAACTATATAATAAGTACAAGTATTTATAAGACATTGCTGGGTCTCTTTCAATTGCTAACATCATGATGGTGCAATGCATACAAGGTAGGATAAGTATAAACTATATATAACATATGCAAATTTCTTTTAAAATCAAGTTCCACATACATTTTGAAAGATTTAAAAATGCGTAAATTTGGTATACATAAGTTTTCAATATTTTCCAAAATTTAAAAAAAAATAATCGATGGGTGGTTATTGTCTACCTTGTATGGATTATACCATTATGGACCCAATTATCTGTAAAAACAAACTATTGATTGATAATAATAAGTTTTTTCTTTTGGGAAATAATTCATTTAATGTTATCTTAGGGCTAAAATTATAGAATAAACCTCAAATTTACCTCAAGCTATACTAAAATTATCCAGAGGTTATCAGAAAAAACAACAATTTTTAATGTTGTATTTTTTAATTAATTTAGTATTATTAAATAGATGCTTAGTGTTATATTTGTTTTTACATTTGTGTACAATAATTATAAAAACAAAATTGAATAAACATTTTTTTTTGTCATTTATAAAAAAAATACAGAACAGAAAACTTAAAAAAAGAAAATAAATTACATTTTTCTATATTTATAAAAAAAAGTGGTTTTAATTTGGTTTTTAATTACATTTTTCGAGTGCCCATTATAATATGGTAAGTAGTTTGGAATACTCACAGTACATACTAAGTTTTTTATACCCTCCAAAATTAATGCCAAATTTTAGCACAACACTCTTACCTTTACAAAATGCTATAATTTGTGCTAATACCTTTTCTGGGCTCCGAGATATTCTCTTCTGGGTATATTTAACCGGCTATGCGAACTAAAGTTTTCTAAATTTAAAAGTTGTTATGTTACCGATACCTATATTGTCTATATTGGGTAAGCTTTCAAACGATACATATATTGTTTACATCGTGTAAGTGGATCCGGGTCTTGGAATTTCGAGTAAAAATTCTTGAGTCCCGGGTCCGCCCCAAACGAAAAAAACAATTTTCCGGAATCAGGGTAAAAATATCTACCTAATATTTCGCAAAAATCAAAGTGTTTATACCCTCCACCATTCTATGGAGGGTATATTAGCTTTGTCATTCCGTTTGAACTCCTCGTAATATTCATAAAGGACCTTATAAAGTATACATATGCAGGATCAGCGTAAATTCTAAGACGATCTAGCGATGTGTGTCTGTCTGTCTATTGCAGTCACGCCATCTTTCGAACGAATTGAATTTCGAACGAATTGATACAGACTGAAATTTCTAAGCCACTCTTCGCACAGCAGTTGAAATTATTCCAATGACAGTTCATTATATTGTTTACAATCGTACAAAAGCATTTTGGTGAGAATTTTCCAGAAAAAAAGTTATTCGTGATGGAATTCAAGCGTAATAGTGTGATTTCTTTATGTTTGGCTGGAAAACCTTAAGTGGCTATCGTTAGAGCTCTCCAGCATTTAAATGTGAATAAATCTTTTGTGGCTCGTACCATCGCTCGTTACCGTGATACTGGAAGCGTAGTCCAAAGTCAAGAAAGTGGACGGAAGAAAACAGCAACATCAGCAGAAATGGTTCGAAAAGTAAAGAAGCGACTTGATCGAAACCCCCGTCGTAGTGGCCGAAAAATTGCTCGTGAGCTGAACATATTGCAATATTCCATTCGGTAAATATTGAAAAATGAGCTCTGGGTAAAGCCATTGAAATTCCAAAAAGTGCAAGAACTTAAGCCGCAACAGAAAGAAAATAGACTCAAAAGAGCTAAAGAGTTGTTTCGCTTGGCTGGAAGAAGTGAACTGCCGAATTTGGTTTTCTCCGATGAGAAAACGTTCGTTGTCCAGCAGTTTGTAAACCAACAAAATGATCGTGTTTACTTGCCAAAGAGGTCAGCTGAAATGTGCACCTTCTGTTGGCCACCAGAACTCAAGAGCCGGCCATAGCAGCCGATGGTCGTTCGTGTTAATCCACCGTAGCAGAATAAATGCCGAATATTATCGCGAAAATATTCTGGAGGAGTGTTTTAAAGTCTTGGGCACGCAAACATTTTGGCCGCAGACCTTGGACATTCTAACTGGACTCAGCACGCGCCACCCAATAATGGTTACAAAATGAGGTTCCTCACTTCATTTCCAGCGCACAACGGCTACCAGAATCTTCGGATACCAATCCGTAGAACTATTGTGTCTGGAGTATTTTGGAAAGCAAGATTGGCACTAAAAAATACCAAAGTGTCGGTCACCATAAGCAAGCGCTTCGCTTGGAATGGACCAAAATAACGCTGAACAACATTCGCGTTTCACGGTTTCATTGGCCGTTTGAAGACCATAATTCGTGCCAAAGGTGATCAATTCGAACAAATCTAAACTTATTCTTAAATTGATGATATTTCAATAAAATTTAGAAAAAAAAATATGTAAAAATTATGGCGCTTGTCTTTGTTGCAGGTTTTTTTTATCTCACCCAGTATAGTGTAGCAATACAACTTTATGAATTTTGGCATTAGGATCACTGTGAATCCGATACGTTTTATATAAGAAAGCGAGATTGAATTTGAGTACTATAACGTATATGAAAAGTACCAATGGTACTGTAGAAATTTACCTGAACAATTATGGGTTAGAAAATGGCCGGCCGCCAATAAATTCACTTAATAAAAATTCCTTGTACCGCAATCGAACTATACAATACTTACCCCCGAGTGTCAAATAATAACAGCTGCTATTTTTTTACGAAAACTTTATTGAAAATGTCATTAATAACAAGCAGCACTTTCGTTCGAAAAGATTATCCAATAAACATTTTGTGATTACCAATTAATGTCTACATCCAATTGGATTGTTGATTACAATTTCATTCCGCCTGGTAAAAAGAAGCTTCTAAACGAAATGCATTGTTCTTCGTTGAAAAATGTATTATTTTTTCTTGCTCAGGGTACGTTGCTTCTCGGCGTGTTCGACAACTTTCTCATCAACATATAGACCCTTGCGACGTCTAACGCTATCCATGTAGAGTTTGGCGCGATTTGCTGAATCCGCTTTTTCGCCATAGTGTGTGAATTCTTCTTCGGTTGTGGGAACCCAGAATGGATCGATGTCAATAATCTGTAAAAGAAACGGCACGGTTACAAATGGTGAAGTCCTTAATGCGTTTTAAAATAAGATTTTTGTATTAAAGTTGAAACATGAATCGTTGGAGTGATGCCACGAATTTTGAAATGAGTTTGAGGTTTTCGGAACTTCTTGGAATAAATTTCACTGAAACATAAAGGGATTTTACCAAACCATGATTCTTGAATTAATAAAAAGCTCTCTATAAATTTCCGAAGCTCTTTAAAAAATATTGCGAAATAAATTTCAAAATAATGGGTTTCCGTTGTATATGACAAGGCTACATACAAGACATAAAAATATTTGGCCTAATAACTCGAAACTCTTTTGTACCTTTAATCTACAACACGATTACAGTCAAACCCACTTGGCATTTTCCACAACCCATACAAAAAACCTTGCAAAAAATTTGGAATAAGGACTGAATTTGTCGAAATTAAACTAAACCTTTTTCAGATGTAATTCGAAAAATTTTGATTTAATTTGTAATTTGAATCATTCCAATTGTAATTCGAATTTGTATACCCCTCTCACTCAGCCATATGGCTAGTGAGCGTATATCATTTGATACGGCCAAAACGTGCCTCATCGAAATATTATCGTAATATTATTATCAAAATTAGATCGAGATCGAAGATAGGCAATATCGGTCCACTCCAAAGAAAATAATTGACTGCACAGAAAGAGAATTTTTGCTCCATCTTTGCAACTCCAAATTTTTGTATCAGGGTCAGGCGCAGAAATGTACAATATAGGTACACTCAATCAAGTACCTCCCCCACAAGGGGTCAAAATTTTGAATAATTATAACTCTTATAAAATGTGATGTAGAAGTCCGATTGTCTTAAAATTACACAATATTAACAATATTTTAATTAGCCCAAGGTCTAGTGTGAAAATGATATATATATATATATATATATATATATATATATATATATATATATATATATATATATATATATATACATATACTCGAAAATTTACATCCGATTCGATTAAGACTTGATATTTTATTTTCTCATCGGAGAACACCAAATTCGGCAGTTCGGCTTTACTTCTTTTGAGTTTATTTTCTTTCTCTTGCGGTGTAAGTTCTTGTACTGTTTGGAATTTCAGTGGCTTTATCCCGAGCTCATTTTTTAATATCTGCCGAATGGAATATTCATAGCTCACGAGCCATTTTTCGGCCACTCTGACGTGGGTTTCGATCAAGTAGGTTTTTTACTTTTCGAACAATATCTCCTGATGTTGCTATTTTCTTCCGTCCACTTCCTTGATATATTCACATTTAAATGCTGGAGAGCTCTAACGAAAGCCACTTGAGGTTTTCCAGCCAAATATAAAGAAATCACACTATCTCGCTTGAATTCCATCACGAATAACTTTTTTTCTTGAAAAATTTCACCAAAATGCTTTTGTACGCTTGTAAACAATATAATGAGCTGTCACTGGAATAATTTTAACAGCTGTGGGGCGAGTGGCAGCACTCTGAAGTAGGTTGCCGTTTTTTTCATTTCACCCTGTATATATGGGAGCTATATCTAAATTTGAATCGATTCTCAATAATTTCAATAGGGTTCGTCCTTGGGCCAAACTAATATTGTTTGGAAAATTCAATCGGGTAATAAATGCGACCTCAATTTTGTTCAGAAAAATACATGGACAGGCGCACGGACGGACAGACGGACTGACATGCATAAATCTACTCAGAAAGTGATTCTATGAAGATTCTCAAAAGTAACTATGGGCCTATCTCGCTTCTTGCTCCATGTTACAAACAAATGCACAAAGACATAATACCCTCCCCATTATGTGGTGTAGGGTATAAAAAGGTCTGTGGGAGGAACTAGAAGTAGCAGGCCGATATTGCCCAATTTCACACCTGACCTAGGACTGATAAAAATATTAGGTTTGTGAAGTTTTCACAAAATTGGATGAATATTTCTTGTTGTATAAGATACTTTATTTTTTGTGATAATTTGGACGTTTTTTTTGTGGGGGAGGTACCATAAGGAATGGAACAATATTTCCCATTTCCGAACTCGATGTAAGTATGATAACAATATTACGATGTACCAAGTGTGGACCAAATTAGGATTATGGTGCGCAACAGCCAGACAGACGGACGGACGGATATGGGTTATGCCCATGGGGAGTATGACCTTTTGTTGTGGGAATTATATCTAGAAAAAAGGCACAATTTGGAAAGGCAAGAGTATAGGCTATAATGTAGTTTGCAGATCTTTATGCCTCATAATGGGTCCATTTAAAACTTTTTAGGGGTTATTCAAAAATATCTGGAACAAAAATACAAATTTTCATGTATTACTCTGGAACCGTTTCAAGCAAGCCCATCATATGACCACTTGTCAGAGACACAATCCCCATTCCATTATGGGGATTATAACCGACAAAATAATGGTCATAACCTCCATACCTTATGTCCGTGGGGATCATTTAGAGAAATACAGAACATTAAAAATGTACTGTTTTCCATTTCATAAATGCAATACATTTTTGTCCATGAAGGTGATGATGATTCATATCATCATTTTTAATTTATTTAAAAATCTACCAACCAAAGTTCCCTGTCATGTGACCTGGTGGTCATCTAATCTGTAGTACCATAACTAATTTCCATTGTCAAAAACGGATCAAATCAACAGCCTTTAAATGGAAGTGCTGTTACAGGGTTATTTCCTGAAAACAACAACTGCAAGGAGACGCCGCCTTTAAATACAAATTTGCCTTGGTGCGATACTCGAAAAAACAGCAGGTTGCCAGTACTTTGAGTGTTAAAAGGCACAAATCTTTTCGAAGGACTTTGAAGGAAGTAGTAAAAGAATTCCAACAACAAAAAACCTGAGTGTTCGTAGAAGTTCAAACATAATATATTTCATATTTGTGAATTGTGTTTTTGGATGTTATCCTTGTTATGTTCTTTGTTTCGGAACGGGTCACAGCAAGTGGTAGACACACAAAAAGGATTTGGCAATTTCTGAAGTGTCTGTACACTTCAAAAGTGCATCTCCATTGTTCAAGAATCATTCATGGGATTGTCGTACGTGATCCTAACAATATATGTAAGTTGAAGGTGATTCTCGTTGCTGTCATGTGTAACAGACTGCCTTACCAACCAAGGATAACAGCAGGACATAAGAGGAGTAACAATCGAGTCAGCGCCAGCACACGGTATCAGAAAATCCAATGTGTGAATATGTGTAATCTAACGTTTTTTTTATGAGAATTTAACGTGAGTTGCAGCTGATAAATTACCAAAAAAAAAAAAAAAATATCAACACAAAAAATGTCGAAAATATTTCCAATCCATCACAGAGATTTTTCTTTGGGCTCTTTTCCGAGTTGATGGATGAATGTAACATTAAACTTCGTTTCGGACAGAAAGTCTCAAAAGGTGGAAAATTCTACCAAAATGTCACTACATAGGGTGAGATGAAAAAACTGCAACCAACTTCAGACTCTTTTTCTAATCTCTCATTTCTCATTTCTAAGCCACTCGTCCGACAGCTGTTAATAATATTCCAGTGACAGCTCATTATATTGTTTAGTTTTGTTTAGTAAAAATGGTTCGTGAGCTGAACGAAAAATGGTTCGTGAGCTGAACATATCGCAATATTCCATGCGGCAGATATTAAAAAATGAGCTCAGGTTAAAGCCAAAGTGCAAGAACTTACACCGCTAGAGAAAGAAAATAAACTCAAAAGAGGTAAAGCCGAACTGCCGAATTTGGAGTTCTCCGATGAGAAAATAGCCGTTGTCCAGCAGTTTGTAAACAAACAAAATGATCGTGTTCACTTGCCAAAGAGGTCAGCTGAAAATGTGCACCTTCGGTTTGCCACCAGAACTCAAGCGTGGGCAGCCATAAAAGCCGATGGTCGCTCTCCGCTCGTATTAATCGACCGTGACTTCAGAATAAATGCCGAATATTATCGCGAAAATATTCTGGAGGGTGTATAAAAGCCTTGGGCACTCAAAACTTTTGGCCGCAGACCTTGGAGATTCCAACAGAACTCAGTACCATCGCACTCAGCACGCGCCACCCAAGAATGGTTACTGGTTAATGGTTACAATATGGCTCCTCGGCCATAATTGGTGCCAAAGGTGACCAATTCGAACGAATCTAAACTTATTCTAAAATTTGATGATATTTACGACATTTTTTGCTTCCATTCATAAAATAAAAAACTAAAAATTATTGCGTTTGACTTTGTTGCAGTTTTTTATCTCACCCTGTAAATCTGGAAAATATTAAAAGGAAAATGCTAAAAGTTATATGTCTTCGATTTGTCTCTTAATTTTATACGTTTCTTATCTGAGTCGAAATCTCCCATGATACTTCATTATTTGGGGAAAGAACCCGAAAAAGAGACAATAAAAATCTGTTAACTTAAACAAAAACCACCATATCTCGCCGAAATGAGTGTGTGTCCATCCTTCTGTCCAGGTTAAGTTCTATATGCAAACTTTCAAATCTATATATTAAATGTTGTGAAATATTTCGCAAAAATTTGGGGTCCCTTTTCATGTGGTCAGTTTGGTCTGAGAACCCAAAATTCCTACAAGCAGAGTATAATTAAGTTCCAGTTAAAATGTAAGAAAATTTACAAAGTGTTCGGGAAAAATTTTAAATTTTGCAATTTTTTTTACAAACCGAAATTTATAATATTTATTCGTTCAAAGTAGCACAATGAAATTTTGATTTAAAAAATTTCTTTTTTTGACACCTTCTTAATAATTAAGTATTAAATAAGATATTGACTTAGAATCGGAAGTGTTATTTTAGCAATGTAAAATCGTTAACACACATTTAAATAAAAATATCCAATGTTAGTTTCTTAAAAAAATTATTAAACCTAGATATATGCTTAAAACGAAATTTTATGTAACCAATTTCAAAAAAGGCCGAGGAAAAATTAAAAAAAAAACACCATTGGGTAAAAAAATATAAATAAAAGAATCTGAATTCAAAC